CTGGCATTTCTCCTCACAGTGCATGCTCAGCTTAACGCTACACCCACCTGCTCTCCAGCAGCTGAGAGAACGGGAACTAGAAATACAGCAGGCCATGAAATAAGGCGTATAAATAAAACACAAAAGGCCAATCTCTTTATCATCTTAATCATTTGCAAAGTGAGCATCCTGCTTTTCTGACTGGATTCCTGTGTTGCACAGATAGTCTTGTTTTATATTATCTATTAGTTTTAATTTTTTTAATGTATTTGAGTTGTATATTAGGATAATCAGACCCATGTTATCATACTCTTGAAATATACACTTTAATGAATTCTTACGCCTTTTATAATCAACAATCTCTAAATGTTAGTGTGAATATGTGTTAGCAAAATAAATTATTCGCTACCGCATATTCTTGTGTTCTGTGTGAGTATAAACCCGATACTTTTCATCTAATAACCGCCAAGCCCTTGGTGAGGCAGTGCTAAGACAGCAGGAGGCATTGGTTTTCTGCTTTCAAAAGACAGGGATCCCACAGACTTGCTTTGTAAATAAACAGATACAGCAAGAGTCCATAGGTTGGTACAGGAGGAGCACAACAGGGGAAAATCACACAAACATTTCTTTACCCTTGTACCAAAACCTGGAGGGAGCATCTTTCGGCAAAGCAATTTCTTTTTCAAATATGCACTATTTTTTTTTCCTGAAAAAAGTGTTTCTGTATATCAGTGCCTCAATGTATCAACATACCCCACTATTTCACAAAACAAGAGCCCAGCCCACCTTTTCAACCCCCTCAGGTCCTAGATTCCTGTGTTTCTTCATGCTAGGCCTATTCCTTTCCCGCTCTCCAATATGCAAACGTGGTGCTAGGCATCCAGATCCTTCCCACAGCTCAGATATTCAGACATATCTAGCTGGCCGCCTGCTGCCCCGCAAACAGCTGCAGCAAGGCCCGGAGTCCCACATGGTGCTGGGAGCTCGGACACCTTGGCCTCCCTCCCCACGAGCTGCACGCAGCACTGGGGCCACTAGAGCAGGAGAGAGGGCTGCAGCGGTTATCCATCAGCATGGCCTGTGGGTGGATGGAGGCTACACAATGAAGAGGCCTGTCCCTACAGGCAACAAACAGGACACTTCCTTTGTTCACCATCTCCCAAAGGCACTTTTCAACATTCCTCTCTGCCAAAAAGCTTTCTCCTTTTTTTTTTTTTCCTAGGCTTTAGTCACACTGAGTCTTTTTTTACTGTGCACTCCTAGTTCAATCCTTTTCACTTCATGTTTTATCCACCACCATCACCAAACTGCCCTGTTTTGGCTACAAACTACTCTCCTAATACCTATTTCTTGGCTCAGCTTCAGCTTCCATCAGGCCTTGCTATTCTTGTCCCACATGGTAGCCAGGGGACATGAACATTGGATATTCTTACTTGTGAGACAGGTACCTGATGAGCCAGCAGCTTTAGGAAGTCCAAGCACTGTTTGCAAACCAAATTCAATAGCCACCAACAGTCTTTGGTACAGCAGCAGGTAAACGGAAATCACTTGGTGCTGTGTTGCATATCCAAAGTAAAAAACCTTTTCTCCGGTAATATTTCTATGAGTTTCTCATAGACTGGTCTGTAGACATCTGGAGTAAATTCCAGCAAGGAGTTTCACCAGCTACCTTCCCTCCTGTATCCGTGCTCTCAGCACATTTGGATGTCCACAGATGTTGGTGCTCATCACTGCCATGTTCCACCAGAAGTCCACAATAGGCTGATGTGCTGTACCAGCCCTTTTTCCTTATGATTTTCCATATTCCCAGTACAGATTAGGGGTTGACCTGTTGGAAAGCAGTTCCGTGGAGAGGGATTTGGGAGTCCTGGTTGACAACAAGTTAACCATGAGGCAGCAATGTGCCCTTGTGGCCAAGAAGGCCAATGGGATCCTGGCCTGTATCAGGAGGAGCGCTGCCAGCAGGTCAAGGAGGGGATCCTGCCCCTCTACTCAGCTCTGGTGTGACCGCACCTGGAGTATTGGGTGCAGTTCTGGACTCCCCAGTACAAGAGGGACATGGAGCTTCTAGAGAGGGTGCTCTAGAAAGCAACAGAGATGATTAAGGGACTGGCGCATCTATTGTATGAGGAAAGACTAAGAGATGGGCCTGTTTAGCCTGGAGAAGATAAGACTGAGAGGAGATCTATCAATATGTATAAGCAGGAGGGTTGGACTAGATGACCCCTAGAGGTCCCTTCCAATCTCAACCGTTCTGTGATTCTGTAATTCTTATTAGCTCAGTGCATGCACAACAGCCAAATTTTGCCCTTAGATAGACACATATGATCCCTTTCATCAAAGACACAAGAAAGGACATGAAGAAGTATTTAACAGCAGAATTTGGGTTTCAAAAAGAAAGATAGAAACCTATTAACTGCAAGCTTAGAGACAGGCAAACTGTACAGGTCACTGTGCACCAGCAATGGATGCTGATTTTTTTTTTTTTTTTAATGAGAATAAATGTCAAGGAGACAAAGAAGTGGGAAACTTTCACAGGTAATTTGTAACATGCTATCTTCAAATTTCAGGTATGTCTCTATTAATAACCAAATGACTAAGGACCAAAACTTAACTATTTTCTTCAGAGGGGAAATAAAGCCTGATATCAAATTAAAGGATTTTGTAAACACTTGAAACATTCAGCATACAGATCAAGTCCTTAAAGCAAAAATTCTCATTTAATATTTTAGTTTTCAACCTAAGGCTTGATCTTTAGGGCTCCTAACCAAAAACAACTATTACATTAACTAGCAGCAGTTTACTATCTTATCCTACAGTTTTATTTTACCTTTTACTAGAATCCTGTTACAATTACTTTTTTTTTTCATAATTATATGAAACCAGGATGATTTATACTGAGCAATTTTTCACTCTGTAACTGATGGAGTAATATTTTATTCCTCCAGGGGGAAAAAAAAATCAGAGGATGGTAGCTTTTTTTTAATATTTGCATAGGTAATTTTTGATTCTGTCTGACTTGCAAAAATGTGAATAATAGAATTTAAAACAGTCCCTCTTATTTTTTTTTGACACACTGATTAGTATTTTACTTCTTGTGCTGCACCTTCAGACTCTCAGTTTCCACAGAAAGCCTCTAATCCGCTCGAGGCAAGGTTGAATAATTCCTGTTTTACACAGAATAGGCTTCACTTTAGCGTTTGGGCTCAGAGGGAGGCAATTCTGGGGAAGGGGTAGGCCAGAATAACAAACTTCCTTCAGCTTAAGGCAATTTGTAAAGTAAAAAGGAACATATGTAGCATCTCATGCTTAGAAATTACTCTCAGGCCAAATGATCTTGTTATTTTTCACAACGATCATTTCCGTATTAGAAGTTTGTCAAAATTCTCAGGGAACAGAAAATAGCACTGTGACAAATATGTCATCTGTCAGGAAAATAGCAAGAAGGTTACTGACAAAGTTATGGTTTCAGTCACTGATCTACAGGGAAGGGGTATTTAGGACTTATTCTTCTGGTGTAGTAAATACTAAAGCAAAAGTTGAGTTTATCTGCTTTATTTTTCAAGAAAGGAAATTTGACTCTCTGTGATTAATGCATATTTCAGGTAAAAAAGCAAATAACATCTACGGCTATTTTATCCCAGTCTTCAAATTCAGTAACAAGGGCCTTGTGTTGGGTCCTTGTGGATAGGAGATACCACTAAGAAGTGTAACAAATACAATAAAATATCTACCTTCTGTCCCTGTGAGGCAAAAATAAAAAGAGCTAAACTGGAAATTTGTCTCTGTAGCATAATAATACTGTCTACATTGTAACATACACTATCACTTCCTAATATTCAGAAGTGTCTCACATACAGTAGATAATAAATTTTACATATAAATACTAATTCCAAGCCATCTTTTTGGAACACAAATATAATCTAGGCTCGTAAAATCAATTATGTTAATTTTGAAAATAGATTTCTTTCTCTCATATGAGGAGAGGTAGAGAGCTGGTACGGTTTAGCCTTCTGAAGAAAAGGCTCGTGTGTTTGAGTGGTTATCGCTATATATAAATACCTGATTGGTGGGGAAGAGTAAAGACGATGGAGGCAAGTGCATTTCAGTGGCACCCAGTGAAAGGATCAGACACAAATGGCACAAATCAAAACACAGGAAATTCCATTTGAACATATTAAAACTTTTTACAGTGAGGATGATTCGACACTGTTATATGTTGTTCACAGAGGCTGCAAAGAGGCTCCAATCTTGGAGATAACCAAAGCCTGACAGGACATGGCCCCGAGCAACCTGCTCTAGCTGAATCTGCCTGAACATGGTGGCTGGACCAGAGACATGTGGAGGCCCCCTCCAACGCCGGTGGTTCTGTGATGTAAAGTGCCACTATTGAGTATTTATTTTAGCAAAGTCCTCCAAGTGCCAAAACTTCTCTCTAGGACTGTCTTCCTTATTTGAGCTCTGTAGCCTGGTAAGCTAATAATTAGCTTTGCTATCTAGCATTTTGTGTATTTTCCGTATTGGCAGTACTTGACAAACCCTTGACCCTTGACAAAATTTAATTAAAGATTGTCCACAAGGCCCTTAGGATAGGATGAATTGTGTTTTCCATTACAAGGTAACCATTTCGACCCAGTTTAAATATTTTAACACTGTTAGTAATTCAGATATTTCTTTTCTCCCCTTCTTCCTCGAACCTTCAGCTTCTAGGACACAGCATGAAAGAAGCAACACTAGAAAAAGTATGCAAGTGCATTTATCCTAAGAGCTTTTAGCAAAGAAAGGTAGATTACACCCAGCTGGTGATTCCAACTATCTCCATGGTAATTTTTATATGGGCACAAATCACCAGTACTCATGATAAGTGGGAAATTAGAGTAAAGGACAGTGAAGCTGTTCAAGAAATGACAAGAAACCCCTGAAAGTTACCTCTTGATGCATTTAATTTATTTTGCCATGTTCTACGGTACTACTCTGAGGTATGGATAGTTACAGGAACACTGTTCTCCAGTTGGATCAAGTAAAAATGATTTACAAAATATTAGGAAAAACAATAACAAAAAATATAAACATTTTTTTTCCAGTTGCATACAATCTGCAAATCCAAAATACTGAAGCCTCTTAAAATCAGTCCTAGGAAAAGTTCATGATTGCTCTTTCAAAACAAGGATATTCCAGTTCTAGGACACTAATGTGGAGGAACCTCCCATGCCAAACTGCTACTTGACCTTTGCTGCCTGAAGGGTAAACTGCATCCATAATGCTTGCACAGAGGTGAGCTGGGTAACACTCTTACGACTTGTCACTGGGAGGTTTCTTCTTAGCTTCCACATCCTTCTTAAAGTCTTCAAGCTTCTTAGCAATGTTAGGAATCTTTAAAGAGAAAATGAAAATAAAAAAACAAGCAAGCAACTTGGCAACTGATGAGCTTCAGCGTGCAAGATGCTTCCTTCCAGGATCCATTCCTTGCACAAATGTTAAAAACCAAGTAAAACTAAGAGAACAGCAGAGGAAAGAACCTCACAGGAGGTTTCAGGAAATACTTTGGACTAGGCAGATGTTGAAGACTAAGTCAAGTTGCTGCAGCCAGGATCACAAGGGAGGAAAACTCATGACTCCCAAATAAAACTGGGAAGTGGCAGCATTGGATTTTAGAAGCTACCTGATTAAATGAGGGGGAAAAAAATTCTCAGGTTCTCATTCATGTTTGTGAATAAAATCATGCAATTCTTATGGCTAGGTGCACTCCTAGAGCAAAAGGAGAGTAAATCCAAAAGACTGAAGTCCTCTGACTAGATGGTTTGATATTGATAGTACAGGAAGTATCAGAAGTTTCTTCTGATCCCTTCCCAAGGAAAGCTTCTTTCAAGAAAGTGAAATTAAGAATCTAGTCTATGACATACCTCACACTTAAATTAAACCAAGAGAAGTCCACTGCTGTGAGCAGAATTCTTCATGTACTTATAGTTAAGCCTATAGTTGAAGAATTAGGACCAAACTATGATAAGTCATCTTAAATATTATTTAAGAGAGATCATCTTAGATACCAACAATAAAAACACCAGGTTCGTACTGCAGGCCAGTGCTACGAGAGAAACATTTCCTCCAAATCAAAGACAGAAGTCCCCCTCTTGTGGCAATACATTATTAGTGCGACTACTATGCACGTATTGATACCCCCAAACAGGATTCTACAACTACATTTTCATGACTTTTACACTCTTAGAAACAAGCAATAGGACTACTATTAGTCCTGTTAGTGGAGTGACTAGACAAGAAGCATCACAAAAGTTTACCAATGTGCAAGGAGGAAAAATAAGAAACCTGCTAGCAACATGACCTTAATGCCCATGGTAAAAGGTGAGGATAACAAAAATAGTATCTGAGATAATCTCTCAGTTGTCCCATCGACATTTTTTTAAAAAATTTAGGGTAATATAAATAAAATAAAAGAAATAAGTGTATGCTATGTTTCACTAATTTCCCAAGCCTGTAAACATGTGTCATTGCTCTGGGATTTGGCTTGACGCTACAGAACTTAAAAACTTGCACAGAAGACAGCTTCGAATCATCATATTCGACTCTAGCTCTCACTAGAAACAAGTCTCAGTCCAAAAAGAAAAAAAGATTGCACATTGAAATAATGTTCCCAGTAGGCAGCAGAGACTGAGTTCTCCCAAATAGGTGGCGAAACTCATTTTTATCACTGGTAGACAGAAGCCTTGAAAGGTTTTTAACTAACAAATGGATGTTCTTACCAGCCATCTGGTAACACTGTAAGCAGAGAGGTTATGGGAATTAACAAATCAGTATTTTAATGATGGTACAGTCCACGGGCAACTGCCAGACCAACTCTACCTTTCCTGTATCTCTCTCTGTAACTTTTTTACTGATGGACAGCACTATGTAGAAGCTTGGTTACCATATTGCACTCTAGGGCTGCAGTATAAGTTGAAGACCTAAGTTGAAGACCATTACAGCACAAGCAAGTACAGTAAATTTAAAAAGTCAAACTGGCAAAGGTTTGGGTTTTCAACTTTAACTACAGTTAGTACAATCAGCATTTTAACCAAATAAAAAAGAAATTCAAAATAAAGACTAACTCAATTCTGACTAAGGAAAAACAGCCTTGCATTTTCATTCAGATTAGGTTCAGCTCCCAAAATACAAAGATACTTACATCATAATTCTGAGCTAGATACATTCCAACCACATTGCCAAGAGTAAAGCCAACCTAAAAAGGAAGAAAAAAATAGTTAACATTTTCACCAAAAGTATTCTGATTACAACTGAATAAATAAGGAGCAAGTCATGGGAAAAAATAAGGAGTTTCAACTCTAGTTATACTTAATTTTGCACCTTCCCTCCTAAAGAGGGATACATTTTCCTTTACGTCATGAAGAAGACCTTACCATCATTTCCAAAATACAGCACTGTTGTGTTTTAAGTATATATCTCCAAAAGTATTTAGATGAGGCCACAATCATCTTTGCCTGCTTGCAGGACAGAGAAATTTTTCAAGTGTCACACTCCTCTAGGAGGGAAAGCAATTCCTCTCTTCAAGGACAAGTGATGTGATTTTCACTCAGCAGTTCCCCAAAACCCTAAATCTTATTTTTACCATTATGTTTGTAAGTATATGATGAAACTACAAGCTAACAAGCAAATGAGCTATGCAAAATCCTTTGACTGTTTTGGAAGGGGAGATTAAGAACACTATGGCTTCATTCATCTTCCTGGATAAATCACTCCATATGGCAGCCGAGGCCAATTCTAAGAAAACTGTGGCAGAGTAAGAATATTTCATTTAAAAATGTTCACTGTCCACAAGGAGAACTTTGTCACTAGATATCTTTTCCATGCCCAAAGCAGAACAGCTCATCTTTTCAGTGACTCAGACTCCATGAACACCACTCTTTTAAAAAAAATGCATTAGTCTGATAATTACAGAAAACTAAAATTGGTTGAACTCTGCCATATGAACCACAATTGCAAACAGTGGAGAACTCGCTTGGAAAGACAGATCAGCTCCTTGTTTACCAGTGGTTTTCTAGGCTTTTTTTTTTTTTTTCCCCAGGATAAATTCTATTTCCAAAGACAGGACAAATTCTTACATAGCAACTTTATAAACCTTAGTGTGTACAGCGAGAGTACTAATTCTAGCACTCCCTTTGAGTATACCCCTTTATGAGGAAGTCTAGCATTCCATTCAAGATCAGTCAGTTGACAATTCAGGGAGACCGAAAAATCTCACTGTTCAGACCTCAATTACTCAGCGAGCAGAAAACATAGCCAATTAAAACGTGCATGTTAATTATGGAAAAGAAGGGCTGATGGGAGTTCAGGCTTTCCCAATTGCAACCCAGCATTTCAAGATCCATGTTAAGCATGTGTTTATGTTTAACTCTGGATAGCAAAAAAAATACAAGGTTTGCAAGATTATCCCTTTATCTCTCTGCTACAGCCCAAACAAGGGAGAGCAAGAGTCAAAAAAACCTCCCTACACCCAAAGGCAAAGAAAACCCACACACAATAAGCCCTTCTACAACTTTTAGACACTAAACAAGTAGTCTTAATTAAGAAGTGATTTCAGGTAGTAATTGCAACCAAATTCCATTTCGGTGCAAGCCACTGAGTGGAGAAACATGGAAACTTTGACAGTGACTAAGTGTTTTCAGTGGCACAGAAAGTGATTATAAAAGACAGCTACAGAACAGAGACTTTGACATTCATTTATTATTGCATTTTAAGTTGGGATAAGAGAGTGGGATTTAATTGCTAACTTTACAAAAACATGCAAGTCTCCTCCAACTTACAATAGTTGATCTCATCCAGCTCCTTGCCAACATTTAATATGAAATGTTATCTCGCTAAATTATTTCCCCCCTCCACCTCAACAAAAAAATGAAGATTATAGGAGAGCACTTATTGCTTGTAGGTATAAGCAGAAGGAAAAATGGGAGACTGGCACTATGCTTTGCTAGAACACAAAATAGGATCATTTCCGTTAGGTAATTTACTTCACACATCTGGTAGTAAAAATACCCACACTGATAAATTATTTAATTAGAGTAGCCAGGCATCTAACTTCAAAAATCCAGACGAGTGAGTTTATGGGAAAATACAAAAAAGAAAGTAAAAATGAGAAAAGTATACAAACCTTTCACCTACTGATTTTCAACACAACAGTTGGCAAAGAGGTTTTGAGGGGATTAAAGGCAGTAATGAAACATTACTTGCCTTAATTTTTACACACATACATATATACATACTTATATACAGACGTGTGTGTATATGTGTGTATATATATATATATATGTACATATTCTAATCTCTGGTGAAAAAATTTTTAGAGGTGTGGAAAATGTATAAAGGCTGAAGCCATGACTCTTACAAAAGGAGGCAGGCACGCTGAATTTATATTTATTAGACAAGGTGAAGAGGACGTTAGCCTGAGCAGCTAAGATACACTAAGTCTTAGAAACACATTAAGGGCACAATCTGGAAAGGAAAAAAAAATAAGAGGGGGGTAGAACCTTCACATTTCAGAATACTCAAAAGATGACCTGTTCTGCCACAAGCAGAACCACATAACAAGGTAGCTACTGAGGACGGACGAGACCTCAGAAGGAAAAAGAGATAAATAAATAAAGCTGAAAGAAGACTCAGGACCGCAACGCGCACGGCAGAAGGAAGGACCTGGCGCGGGGCGCCCATGGCGGGTGCGGCCACCCTCTCGACGCCACCTCGGCACCGGCCTCCCATGGCTTCGCCGACCGGGATGCTCCGTGCACTTTGTCGGCTGCATTTGCCCAGCGGCAGAGGGGAGGGCAGAG